ATAGATGCGCCTGACACTCTGGGTGTTCCCAGCGGCTTCTATTTTTATTAAAGAGGGATGTGTGTTTGAGAGTCGGGACTTATAGGAATCATTGAGGGTTATATAGAATCATAGAATTATACAGCACAGAAGGAGACCATTGGGTCCATTGTGTCTGTTCCGGCTCTTTGAAAAGAGCTATCCAATTCAATCCCACTCCCCCGCTCTCTCCCCATAGCCCTGCAAACTTGTCCTCCCGAGATAATTATCTATTTCTTAAAAGTTGTTATCGAATCGGCTTCTGCCACCCTTTCAGGCAATGCATTCCAGATCCGAACAACTCATTATGTGAAAACATTTCTTCTCACCTCCCCTCTGTTTCTTTCAACACTATTTTAAATCGATTTCTCCCTGATCTCCCTGTCGAATCCCCTCATAATTTGGAAAAGCTCTATTAAGTCTCCTCTTAACCTTCTCTGCTCCAAGGAGAATAATCCTAACTTCTCCAGCCTCTCCTGATAACTGAACTCCCTCATTCCTGGTATCATCCTGGTAAATCTCCTTTGCACCCTCTCCAAAGCCTTGACATCTTTCCTGAAGTGTGGTGCCCAGAACGGAACACAGTACTCTAGCTGATGCCGAATCAGTGTTTTATAAAGGTTCATCATAACTTCCTGACTTTTGTATTCCATACCCCTATTTGTAAAGGCTAATATCCCATATGCTTTTTTAACAGCTTTATCTACCTGTCCTGCCATCTTCAAAGATTTACTTATATGAACCCTCAGTCTCTATGTTCCTTCACTCCCTTTAAGATTGTACCATCAGCTTATATTGCCTCTCCTCATTCTTCCTCCCAAAACGCATTACTTTGCATTGCTCCACATTAAACTTCATCTACCACGTGTCTGCCCATTTTACCCATTCACAATTGAAAGATTGTGGCCGGAGCCTCCGATATTTCCAACCTTATTTCCCTCAGTAATCTAGGATGGATCCTGTCCAGACCAGGTGACTTATCTACCTTGAACACCACAACCTTTTTTAGTACCTCTTCTCAATTTATTCGTATCCTATCCAATTTCTCTACCCTATCCTCCGATAATGTGGCATTGGCTGCATCCTGTTCTTTTGTGAAGACAAATGCAAAGACTCATTCAGTACATCAGCCATGCCCTCTGCATCCACAAGACGATTTCCTCTTTGGTCCCTCATTAACCCCACACTACCTTTGACTAACCTTTTATTCTTTAAATGCTTATAAAATACCTTAGGTTCCCTTTTATGTTACCCGCTAATCTTTTCTCATACAATCTCTTTGCCCCTCTTATTTCCTTTTTCAGTTCCCCTCTGTACTTTCTATATTCTATTTGATTATCTGCTGTATTTTGGATCTAACATTTATCATAAGTCTCCTTGTTCTGTTTTATTTTAATCCCAATTCCAGGGAGGTTTGGATGCTCTACCTTTCCCCTTTGTAGGAATGTATATTTGTTCTGTCCCCGATCTATCACCTCCTTGAAGGGTTCCCAATGCTCTTAGGCTTTTTTACCTGCCAATCTTTCTTTCCAGTCCACCTTGGCTAGGTCCTTTTTGGTGGCACTTGGTGTGAGACAGAGATAGGAAATGTGCCAAAGGTGAAGAAAAGCAGTTTTAGTCTGGGACCAGATTGAGTGAGAAATGAGAGCTGAGGATTGTAACTGACCGCCAAAATTAAGCACTGATTTGGTAAATTTGAGAGAAAGATAGGAAGGTTGAGGAGGTCAGAGCCAAAAGTGAGGAGATGTTGTCAGGAGCTGAGAAGGATAGCGTGGTGTAGACAGAGCAGTGGTGGATAAATGGAGCTAGGAGTTGTCCTTGGCCTCCAGGATAGCCATGGAAAACTATGAGGTTTTGGACTTGGCAAGGGAAAGGCAGTAATTTTGGAGATGTTTGAGTTGGATTTGGTGCTGAACCATGAGACCTGTTTCATGCCATCTGCATTCGAGTGCACGGGAGTGGGATACAATACAATATACAGTACAATTTACATTTATCCAGCAGTTTTCATGTTGGAAGGACATCTCAAAGCGTTTTACTGGGAACCCATGTTGGGAAATTGAGCCAAAGGGAGTTTTGAGAGAAAAGATGACCAAAAGTTTGACAAAAAGGTACATTATGAGATGGGCCTTGAATTAGAGGAGGTAGAGAGGGATTTGAGAGAGCGGAGATGGCTGTTGGACTGGGGTAACTGTTTAACTGGGAGATGGTTCCTGATTTTATGGGGGAGGTGCAGAGTGTAGAGTGTGTGGAAGTCCCTTGTAAATGGAGGTGAGACATCCATTGAACAGCTTGCATCAAGTTCACTGTGAGTAGTGGAGCAACTTGCCTTTTAGGGTGAATCAGTTAGAACTGTCTATTTTTACAGTTTCTCCTTGCATTGCCAGAGAACACTTGGCTTAGATATTTTTTCATTAAATTGTTGGAAACAACATTTTAGGTTTTCCCCAAGTATTGCATATTATACTTTTCACAATGCACCTGGGCATGAGTCACTCACACATAAAACATAGGGGAAAAAACTAGCACATGACGTTTTGCAGAGCTTTTATCTCCATGTCTATCTGGTACCCAAGGTTACATTGTGCATCTGGAGAGAGGAGAGGTAACGGGTACCGTGGTTCCAGCCTGTGCCACATTCCGTTAGTAAGAAAGCTAATTTGGTGGCCATTTTGACCTGTTAATACGATTAATTAAACATATTTTAAAAGAATGGATATAAAAAAATCTTGTTCTATTCTAAATGATTATGGCTATATTGCAACACAATGCGTTCAAATAAAATGCTGACTTTCTCCAATACGTTATGTAATTAAGTGAAATGGTGGGGAGATTTGGGGGCTCCCACATCCCACCGTTTGTTTGCTTTTGCTCTGTCAAAAACTGTATGCAATGTAATCGTGTCCATTGCCTTCCCAGCAGGAGCCCACCCCTCAGATCCCACAGGAATGGCTCCAGCCTGAGCATCAACAAGCCACAGCTGTCCCAGCACTGCACCTGATAGATATTTCTTCCAGCTAAGCCTGTAAGCAATAAGTTTGCGTGGCACAGAGATTTAGAAAAGAGACGTGGACAATTCTGTTCCACAAAACAGAAAATTGGTTATTGTCCTTTTGAAAAACAAGGTTCCCCTCATGTACTTAACACCCAGGGATTTATAATCAGAGGTGCAGTTCAGATCTCCAACACACTTTGTCCCAGTGATCATTTCTTCTCTCAGTGTCTAGTTGTTGAGCAGAGGCAGACTATCAAAACTATCAGAGTGGTAACATGGCTTCTTCTCGAAATAAAGTGTGAGTTAGTTAGTCAGCTGTGCCAGCAGTACAAACTCTGAGGGATTTTTTTTGCAGCTCAACAAAACCTCGCGTTGGTGTGTGTGTGTTTAAAAGAGAAGCAGTTTCTTGTAAACAGCCCATAAAAGTGAAGCAAGCAATAACCGTCTGTCTGGCCTGATCACATTTCATCAGTTTGCAACACACATCAGGTTGCATTTTTCCGGGAGAGGAACGAGAATTTGATTGATGAGAACTACACTACATACCATAGCCAAGTCTGTGGTTTAAATGCCAAAATAAAATGAAGGGTATGTGCCCCGAAGGATAACTTGTATTTGGGAGCATGCGTCACTCACACCTAAAACATAGGGGAAAAACTCAGTGACATTATAGAGGATAATAGATGACATTTCATAATAACATCAACTCCACAGGACTGTGGAGTCCTGTAGCTCAGTGGTTAGAGCACTCGCTTTGCAAGCGAGACACCTGGGTTCAATTCCAGGCAGAGGGTGAAACCTTGGGCAAGTTTCCTCACTCCACACAGAGCCTAATAATAATCCCTCCAAAACCAAAAACAATAATAAATTGGTCATTTTCAATCTACGACTGTTTGTGGGATGTTGCTGTGCGCAATTGGCTGCTGCTTTCGCCCACAAATATACAGTCAATTCACTTTACAGTGTGTTCTATGAAGCGCTTTGGGACGTCCTCCCAACGTGAAAAGCGCTATATCAAATGCAAGGATTATTATTATTATTATTATTATTATTAACGCCTTTCACATGGAAAAGTGCCTCAAAGCATTTCAACAAGAACAAAATTACATTTGTATTATACATTTGTATTTCACAGAAACAGTCTGGATTTATAAAATTGTATAAATAAATGTAATCTGTTTGTGCATCATTCCTTTGTACAAATTGGCTGCCACATTCACCAACAAAATAAATAGTCACTGCACTTCACAGTAAATCCTGTGAAGTGCTTCGAAAAGTCCTCCTGGTATGAAAGGCTATATCAAATGAAAAGATTATTATTATTAATAAAATAGCTGGTGAGACTCCAGCAATTCTCCAACGCATACTCTGGGGTCCCCAGGCCTTGGCTCTATTAATCTATCTCTGGAACTTGCAAATGTAGAGGGGATACTCTTAAGCATGGTGATGAGTTTCTGCATGTGTCAGACACCTGGCTGATCCCCCACAAAAATTGAAAAATATCAGGTTTGGGGATTCACCCAGGACAAGTCTGATTGATCAATTGATTTAAAAGAATACCTTTTACCTATTAAGTCACACAGTAGAAAGTTTGCAATTTAGCACCTTTACCTATGCTCATGATAAGACCCCCCATATCTGGATCAAATTTGACTATTTGTCAAGCATGCCTGAGGTGTGTCCTGTCCTCCGAATCACACCTCACTTCACTGACACACCTTATGAAATCTTTGCACCTGTAGTCATGTGCAATGTCAGCATACCACAGGGATTGTGTAAAGAATACCAGGATAAAAGTTTGGGTTCACAGCCAGACTATTTTAATCTTATCAATGCATTAGTTTGACTTGCATTCTGGAGATGAGAGAGGTAGCTAGTTGATGCAGACCAGAGCTTGTAATTTTACATTTTCAAGGAAGTTTCAAACCCAGACATGTCAGAGTGCAATTTGTATACAGAGTACAGTTTGGCATCTCTCATGTTAGTCATGGCAATTTATAACATTATGGAGGCTCAAAAGAATGCATCTCCTTATGGGAGATACACACCTCCATCATTCTCTGGGATATTAATCCCGGCTAAGATCGCCTGGTTTGTCCAGGAGCTGCCTTCATTTCTCGTTCCTGTGCTGCTCCTTTACCGGTCAGGCAGCCTGGAGACCCTGGGATGCAAGCTGCTGCTCTTCATGTTTTGTGGACACTATTTTCACAGGTATGTTTCTATCATTCTGCACCGATTGGAATTGTTTTGTGATCCTCAAAAGAAAAAAAAAGAAAAATCCTTTGATCTTTCGCTTTCAACTCTTATCTGCTGCACTCATCTACAAATACACAGTCATTACATTTTGCAGTAAAATGTTGTGAAACACTTCGAGACGTTTCAATGATGCGATAGGCTTTGGTATCAAACAGAAATAACAGCAAAGTGTATCGATTGTGTATCTGTGCAACAACAACAAGATTGCATTTGTATAGCGCCTTTCATGTTGGGAGGACGTCTGTAGATGAACATGAGAGCCAATTCCATACCATAAAGTTAACAATCATGAGTCAATGAACAATTTTTAACTGGCGCATTGTTAGCTACGACTTTGGGATAAACAACCTTCTCTTTTCAGATATTGTCACGGGATCTTTAATGTTTCAATGCAAACTTGACCGATGTAAAAACTACAGTTCAGGTAGAATAACGAAATCAATAATAAGTTACAGTTTGATAGCAAACTGCTTGAAAATTTGAGAACTGAAATACAATCTGGTGCATAATAAATATATTTATAGTGCATTCTGTCATTTTCTAGTTCAAATTGTAAGTTTAAACTAAAAAGTAGTTCAAATAGATGATAATGACCCAAAAATAAAAATTCCAGAGTCATTCTCACAGACCTGTGATGGATACACTGTGTTACTTGTACCATATTAGACTCTTATTACCAGATAAAATACATGATTATTAACTTTAGATACTGTGATGGCTGAGAACCAAATAACAAGTCAGGATGAGAAAGTGCCACTCCTGCAGCAAAGGCTGCTCTGTCATTAACACTCTCACTCAATAATCCAACAGTTTGTAAAGCAGGAACATGGTCAGTTCTCAGCTAGACCATGAGAACTTTTATTTCTCAGGTTTGGGTGCAATGGTAGAGACAGAGTCCATTGTGGGTTTCAAGAGGGAAGTGGATGGTTATATGAAGGATAAAGGCTTGAATAGGACAGGACAGTGGATTGAACGAACAACAACAACTTGCATTTATACAGCACCCTCCACACCGGACAAAGTCTCAGCGCGAACACCTTACTCTGAAAGCCAGTATAGACTCAATGGGCTGAAAAGCTTCCTTCTGTGCTGTAAATTTCTATGATTTTATGTCCTTGTTATTGAAAAAGCACCTTGATGAGATTAAATATATCATCTATAGTGAGACTTGTATTGGTGTGTATGTGAGCTTTACTTAGGTTGCCTGGGAATCATCTTGCTTTCTATTCAAAGCACATTTATTTCATTCTGCATAACATTGCTTCTTGATGTTGAACGTGCTAATGTAACTGTGAATCTCTAGCAGTTTAATTTGAGCAGTCGGTGTTTAAAAAATCTGGTTACTTTTGAATGGTTTAGACTCTCAAACCTGATCGAGAATTGAAAGTCCAGATTGAATTATGTGATGCTGCCAAGTTTTACCGGTTCAATATGCATCCAGGCACACTGTGCTCATCCAGGCTATTATCTCTATTGCCCGAATGATGAAAGTTTTAGAGGAGAGAGCTCCAACCCATATCAGGGCTGGGAACACAACACCTGCATTATTATATATAATGTTCAGCACTGAAACAGGCCACTCAAAACAGGCCACTCTGTTCAACTAATCTGTGGCAGTTTTTATACTAGCCTCCACCCATCCAACTTCACCCACTTCAGATTTAGGGTAGGAGGATGGCTGGAACCAGACACTTAAGTTGTGCACAGGTTCATTTTTAAATGTCATCTGACAGATTGGTGAATCATTCTCTGATTCTCTCTCATGAGTAACACAATACCCATTTAGAGTCACCAAAGGAACAGTTAAACAGGTAGGCATTAGGCTTTGAAGCGGAGGAGGGTGCGAGGCAAAAGTGGTTGTAAACACCAAGGGTTTGTAAAGCAGGAACAACAACAACAATTTGTATAGCGCCTTTCATGTTGGGAGGCTGTCACAAAGTGCTGGACGGTCAGGGATTTGGACCTGAGCAGGGGTTGGGATCAGGGGGGTGGAGGGCAGTAAGGGTAGGGGTAGGAGCGTGCTCGAATGCACTGCTGAAGAGGAGGGTCTTGAGATGTGCTTTGAAGAAAGCAAGGGAGGGAGTCAGGCGAAGGGACTGTAGGATGGAGTCTGCATGTAATAAATACATGGATGAGGGTTTCGGTGGCCTGCAGGGAGAGGCAATGGTGAAGCCAGGCAATGTTGCGGAGGTGGGGTATGTCAGAGGGGGTCATGGCATGGATGTGGGATAGAAAGAGCAGTTGAGGTTCCAGACTGGCTTAGCAAGGTGGAGTGTGCAACCATGGATGGTGATGCCGTCAGTGCCTGACGTTCAACTGAAGAAAGTTAGTTCTCATCCAGGACTTGATGTCGGACAGATAATAATAATAATCCTTGCATTTGATATAGCACTTTTCACTTTGGGAGGACGTCCCAAAGCGCTTCACAGAACACACTGTAAAGTGCATCGACTGTATATTTGTGGGCGAATGCGGCAGCCAATTGCGCACAGCAATGTCCCACAAACAGTCGTAGATTGAAAATGACCAATTTATTATTGTTTTGGGTTTTTGGAGGAATTATTATTAGACGTGTGGAGTAAGGAAACTTGCCCAAGGTTTCGCCCTCTGCCTGGAATTGAACTCAGGGCTCTCGCTTGCAAAGCGAGTGCTCTAACCACTGAGCTACAGGACTCCACAAGTAGATATTCTGTCAGGACAGCAGTTGTCCTGGAGTCAAGGGTGGAAGCAGAGAGACAGAGTTGAGTGTCATCCGCATACATGTAGAAGTTGACCCCATGTCTGCGGATGATGTCACCAAGAGGGAGCATATAAATATCGAAGAGGAGGAACCAAGGACAGAGCCCTGAGGAATGCCGCATGAGACGGTGTGGGGGCTGGAGGAGAAGCCGTGTGTGAAGGCAAAGTGGAGGTGGTGTGAGAGGTAGGATCTGAACTAGTCAAGGAAAGAACCATGAAGGTTGAGGTGAGAGGAGAGGCGGTGGAGGAGAATAGAGTGGCCAGCGGTGTCAAAGGCAGCAGAGAGGTCAAGGAGGACAAGGAGGCAGAGGGAGGTCTGGTCACAGATTGACAAAATGTCATTTGTCACTTTGACCAAGGCTGTTTCTGTACTGTGGGCAGCATGGAAGCCTGATTGGAGGGGTTTGTATAGGGAGTGGGAGGAGAGGAAGGAGCAAACATGGAAAGCAATGACTCATTCCAGGACCTTGGAAAGGAAAGGGAGGTTGAAGATGGAGCGATAGTTTGTGAGCAGGGATGGGTCCAGGAAAGGTTTTTTGAGGATAGTAGTTATTCTACTTTAATCATATTTGTCTTCTGGCATGATGGTTCCTTTCACTGGCAGATAGGGTACCATTTTAGAACAAGATGTTTCAGAGCTATTACGATCTTTATCATAAGATTTTACAGGAACAGTAGATGTGGAGCAGGCCTGAGTTAGAAGAAAGAAAGGAATGGGCAGGGAAACACTGTAGATCACTGTGATATGGTGAAGTAAGGGTAAGGAAGCATCTGAAAGTTAAAATGAGGATCGTAAAGTCAATCTGCTAGGTAATAGGGAGCCAGACTAGTGAAGAATGTGGGTGATGGGCTTGTGAAACTTGGTACTGTAATGCTTCTCACAATTCAGATGTTTCAAGTAACCCCTTTATTCTTAGCTCACTCCAACCATAAATCTACACCCTGGTTCCCTTCCCGGGATCCTTTTATTCTTCCTGATTCTATTTCATTGGCTTTTTCTTATTTGCCTTTACTTCATTAACGGAGTCCAGATAAAGGAAAGGATACAGGCTGTGAAGTTATGGATAATCTGTAGCTTGTTGATGATGGAGTTGGAAAGGCTGACGAGAAGGGCATGGAGGAATCCAATCTGGAGGCAATAAATGTCTTATATTCTCAGTGTGACAAGTACTTCTTATTTTTTTTATTCTATCTTTAGGACATTCATTTATGCAGTTCTCAACAGGGGTCATCCCACACCTATCTCCACAGCGGTTTTTGCCACTATATTTTGTACCTTTAATGGATACCTTCAAGGATACTCTATGATCTACTGTACTGAGTATGACAACAGCTGGACCAGTGATTGGAGGTTTATCTCAGGTAAAGAAAACTTAATACCTTTGAAAAATCTTGTTCTGAAACGCTATCTTACCTGACAGTCAAAGGAACCATTGCACCAGAACAACAAATATGATTAAAAGTAGAATTACAAACAATGTTACAAATATAACTGTTGCAATATTTTCTGGTTTCGTCCCTCCCATCCACATTCCTCATTATCTACTCACTGTGAAGGGCAGGTGATCCCAGCATCTCCCCATCAAGGCATGAATGTGTGAAGACATCCGATGATGTACATTTTCAACCAATTTGTCCCCGCTCTCTGGAATTCTTTCCTGAAATCCCTTTCCCACTTGTTTCCTTCCACCCTTTCTGCTTTCGAACCCCACTGAAAATCATCTTTCATTGCATCATTCTACCACCTACCTCCCATCTCGGGCTCATATTCTGTCTCTGTAAAGCACTTTGAGATATAAACATTTCACTGAATATTCAGCAAAGTGAATTGACTGTATATTTTGTGGGTGAAACGTGGCAACCAATTGCACACAGCAGCGTCCCACAATGATTATTACCCCTGGAAAGCGATCCCCCAATTGACTATCAACCAGATTCTTACTAACTGCTTGGTAAACAGAAGTGTGTGACGAGGCGAGCACTCTAACCACTAAGCTACAGGACTCCATTGATGATATCCTACATCAAAGTAGCTATTTAAGTGCAAACAGTTGTTTATTGAGTTTAAAAGTGCTTTGAGTGATTGAAGGGCAGCACTTGGGTTAGTGTTAACAAAATTTGCTGCTGGTACATGGCCCCATGAGGCTGAATGATGTTGTGGTGAGATGAAGCAGTATTTAGACTAATTGTCAGTACAAGCTATGGAGAGAATGTGCTCTCCATCGCACCTTTGGTGATCAAGCCTTCAGCCACTATGCCCCTAATCTCTGGCACACACTGCCTCTTACCCTCCTCTACCCCTCCCTTGTTCCCTCTTTATCTATCTTGAAATCCCACCTGAAATCCTACCTCTGTGACCGTGCCTATGGTCACCAGCCCCTCCCACTTCACCTTTGGTGTACAGCACTCCTAGACTTGAAGGGCACTATATAAATGCGAGTTGTTGTTGATCAGGGAATAAACCCTGAAACTTTAAGTTTGTGCATGAGCCAGCTGGATGAGGTCTTTGGTGTCTGTTTTTAGTTTACTAGACAATTGGCATGGTGACGGTGGGAAGTGTCAATCAGCATTAGGATGTCTCAGGTGGATTGGAGTAGAATGTCCAGTGGAATTCGATCAATGACATATGAGCGGTAGGTGAAATCATTGGTGAAACTTTTCAAAAAGAAAACAACTTTGAGGAGCGATTCTGTCCCAGAGACTTCAAGTTGATTAAATTCAAATTGATTCCAAACTGTGCTTATAGGAAGTTACCAGTCCAGGTCTTAGAATAAAGGGCAACTATAAACAACAGGAAACTTGCCAGTGTTCACGATGGCAGGTTCTGCAGTTTTAGCTGGTTAAAGTTCAGCTGTATCCCAGCTTGGGACCCTCCAGCACCTCAACCCTTTCCACGGCTATAACCATGTCCTTGATTAATATTGCCACTCCCCTCCTTTTTTTCCCCTTCCCTATCCCTCCTGAATACATTATAGCCAGGAATATTCAACTCCCATTCCTTTCATGGTTTGAGCCAAGCCTCTGTTACTGCTATTACATCATAGCTTCCTATGACCACTTGAGCTTGCAGCTCACCAATCTTGTTTACTAAACTCCGTGCATTTAGGCACATGCACTCCAGACTTGACCTGTTCTGCACTTCCGCCCCGTTTTATTTCTCCATTTTCTTGCCCATTGTTTTTTGCATTCTCTTCCCCCCTCAAAACTAGTTTAAACTCTTCCCTACAGCATTAGATAGCCTGTCTGCAAGGACATTCGCCCCAACCCTGTTTAGGTGTAACCCATCCATATGGTACAGGTCCCACCTGCCCCAGAACTGGTCCAATGATCCAGAAACCTGAAGCCCTCTTTTCTGGACCATTTTTCCAGCCAAGCATTCATATGCTTGATCCTGCCATTATGGTATTTATTTGCCCGAGGCACAGGGAGTAATCCAGAGATCACCACCTTGGACGTTCTATTCTTTAGTTTGTTCCTCAACTTTTGATATTCTCCCTGTAGCATCTCAGCCCTTTTTTTTAACCAATATCATGGATCCCACCCTGGACCATCACTTCTGGATGTTCCCCTTCCCCCTGAAGAATTTTATCCACCCGTTCCATGATGTCCAAGACCATTGCACAAGGGAGGCAACATACCATCCTTGGCTCCTGTCTTCAGTTGCAGAAATGCCCGTCTATACCTCTCACTGTTGTATCCCCTATGACAACAGCATTGCTCCTGTTACCTATATCCCCCTGTTCAACCAACCATTTTTTACTGTCCTTCCTGGAGATATCAACACTCTCAATATTCAGTACAGAGTATTGATTTGAGAGTGCTACACTATTGGGGGCATTCTGCCCTGTCCGTCCCCTCTCCCTACCATGCCGGATAGTCACCCAGTCACTTTCCCTCTGAACCCTCGGTGGCTGTGGGGTGACCACCTCCTGAAGTGTCTGGTCCATCAAATCCTCACATCCGTTGTACAAGTTTGAAGCCCAAGGCTCCATCACCCCTCTCTCAGGGGTCCCATTATCTGCTGGACTGATAAAACTATCCTGTCCCTGACCATTAACCAGATGCAAGCATCTTCCGAGCCTCAGGGGAGTGATGGTTTTCTCCATCATACTGTCCAGGAATCTCTCACTGTCCCTGATGGAGCGCAGTGTCTGCACCTCGGCTTCCAGCTCAGCTATTCTCAGCTGGAGCTTCCTGAGTTGCAGACACTTGCTGCAGATGAAGTTACCCGGGCTCAGGGCGCCCTCCATTAACTCCCACATGTTGCATCCTCGCATTTCACTTGCCACATCATCTTCTCACACAGTGTTTTCAATATATATATTTTTTGTTTTTTTGTTTTTATTTGTCGTCAGTGTTGTAGCTTCTGACAGTTCCTTGTTTGTCGATGTCTCCCTGGTTCTGCTGTTGAAAATGACGTCACACCAACGTCATTTTTTTTTCGTAGCTCCGGCAGTTCCCAGCTTACCTCAGCCACTCCTTTTTTGCTGCTCGCTAGGCCCAAGCTCTGCCTCCGCTCTGTCTTGACTCCTCTCCCCGTTGGACTCTTAGTTGTTTGGCTTGATTGATGGGTTTCCCCATGTGTCAGGCACATAGCTGACTCAAACCAAAAATCCCCATGTATGCCATGCTCCCACTATATATGGCAGGATTGACATAACTTTGTGTATGAGTTGATCCATTGACAGTGATTGACTCTGATGGCTGAAGGATGGTTGAAGGATGGCCACATGAGCGATGCTCGAGCATGACTCAGTATCATAGGTAAGGAGAGGAGAGAAAGCAGCAAACTGGGTGAGTCGTGGCGGTGGGGAAACTAAAATAATGCTTGATGGATTGTGAGTATCCCAACCCTATCATATGTTCTATTACAAATAAAGAATTATTTTGGCCCAAATAAATAGGGTGATGTAATGTCAATTCTTGATTCATGTGGAAACACTAATGCTGGGAATCCTCTGTGCCACTTGGCTGACAAATGTAATCCTTTATTGTTTAAAAAATGTTGACAGTCAGACAACATCTCAGTTTCACAACAGCATTTTAAAAAGTATGAGTTGATCTGAGCTGATCCGAGTTGATCTGCCAGTGCAGAGCTAATGGAGTTTTTTTTTTTCCATTTGCACACAGTCCTTGTAACTTATTGCTATGGGAAGCACTTCTCTGAGTAACTTCTTAGGCAAGAAATTAGCTGCGATGCTTAAAATAATTTATTTGACCAAAATGCAGTATTGTAGCCATTGGATATTTTTTGTGTGTGTGAGCCCAGGTTGTGGGGTGTATAAGACACTGATTGCTAAAAAGTAGTGATCTATTCACGAGGTCTTTATAATGGAATTTTGTGTGACAATGATATAGTGCAGTGTGGATCAACTGGCAGCCTGCGGCCACATCCGGCCCAGAGGTTAATCTTAATCCAGTCCAAGACCATTTCCAATATCCACTCCCTCCCTCTTTGGTGAGCACAGGAGTCGGTGGTTGGGAGAACGCAGTGGAAATAATGCAGGCCATTAGTGCAGTGTGTCAGGAAGGCAACCATGTATCTTACCAACAGCATCCTTAGAAACTGCCAGCTTCTGCCCCTGCAGATAGTGATTGCTGCTTGGCTGACTGGGAGAGAGAGGGATTGAGTGGCGGAGATGGGGGGAAGAGAGGGAGAGGGAGTATGTGTGTGTGAGAGAGAGAGTTAAGAAAGGGGGAGTGAAAGAGAGAGACTGTGTGAGTGTGAGAGAGGGAAGGGGGGAGAAGGGCAAGAGTGTGAGAGGGGGAGAATGTGAGAGGAGGAAAGGGGGAAAGAGTGTGAGAGAAAGTGTGTGAGAGAGAGGGAGTGTAAGGGGGGAGAAAGTGTGAGAATAATTGAGAGAGGAGAGAGTATGTGTGAGAGAGTGCATGAGAGAGCGGGGGTAGAGAGAGAGTGATTGAGGGAGATAATAATAATAATCCTTGCATTTGATATAGTGCCATATCACATCTTCAAGACATCTCAAAGCGCTTCACAGAATATACTGTAAAGTGAATTGACTGTATATTTTATGGGTGAAACGCGGCAGCCAATTGTGCACAGCAGTGTAGATGCATTTACCAGCGTCAAACCAAGCTGTACAAACCATGAAACCAGTTTTACAACAACAACAAGATTTCATTTATAGAACGCCTTTCACGTCGGGAGCATGTGCCAAGGCGCTGGACAGTCGGGTCGGGACCCGAGCAGGGGCGAAATGGTCAGGGTGAGGGGAGGGAAGGGAGGGAGCGAGGAGGGGGTAGAGAGTTGAGAGGGGAGCTGAAGGTACGGTCGAAGAGACCGGCCTTGAAGGAGGAAAGGGAGGAAGTGGCGAAGGCACTGGGGGATGGAGTTCCAGAGCCTAGGGGCTGAGAGGCTGAAGGTCCGGCCACCGATGGTTGGGCGGTTGGGGCGGGGAATGTGGAGCAGACCAGAGCCAGAGGAACGGAGGGTACGGGCAGGTAAGTAGGGGGAAAGAGAGTGTCAAGATGTCCTTCCAACATGAAAAAAATGCTGGGCATCTTGCTATGTATCTCGAATGGAAACACAAAACATTCCTTTTGCAGCCCACGGACTTTTCTCGAATAGGAAATCTGGCCCACAGCAGCTGAAAGGTTGGACCACCCTGGTGGATAAGTTGTTATTCTTAGTGATTGATGTAAATTAATCCTCAGTGAGTGTCTTTTGTGTGTGCGTGTGTGTGTGTGGGGTAGGAATGGTTGGAGGGGTGCCTACACCCACTTAGTGAGGGTTCAAACCCACGCTTGTCCTTAGGGGGTAGGTAATCAGGGTCTCCTTGGAGCTGAACTGCCACCACCATGTTACTTCCCTCCCACCACCATGTTACTTTCCTGGCTGCCATCAACGAAATCAGCACAACGTAGGAATTAAATCTGGGTTCTTGGTTTTGTTTGATCCTATAAATGCATCTACACACTGGGAAGGCGTTCCAGCTGATTGCTTTACAAGAGAAAGAAGTTCATACATAGCAGGGATTCTCAACACCATGTTTCTTGCTTGGATTAAAAACATTGGGATGTAGATGGTAAAGTAACAAACCACATATGCACAATTCCTTTTATTTCTAATGTGAGAATTGCTTTTAAAAAAAATGGATTCAATTTGACTTTTAAGTGTTGTATGTTGTTCGAGATCATGTGGAAGTGTTCTTTTAATAATATTATGGTGCAGAATGAAAAAAAGACTTGCTTAATTAATTGCAGAGTGTATGAAGAATCAATGATTTATTTTCTTGCTGCAGGTATCGTGCTATTTGTGCTGGGAATGGGTATTAATATTCACAGTGATTACATAATTCGGAACCTTAGAAATCCTGGTGATGTCGTTTATAACATACCGAAAGGTAACACTTTTACTGCTTTGGAATAAATAGAAACAACTCTGTAAAAATCTTAGACGGTTCAATATTTAGTGTTTATTTATCCCCAAACGGTTTTATATAGAATACATTGAAAACACATTGAAAACATTTTGTGGGTTGCTCAGCTAAATCTGTTGTTTACAGCACGTTTACCAGGGATTTCAATTTAATTAAGAAAAATCTAACTTTTACTAGTTTTCTCAACATCAGAAAAATCCAACAAGATTATTGCCAGGGATTAAACAGCTCAGGCCAGGCTTGAGGTGGGGGGGGGGAGGTTGTACAAGGCATTCAACATCCTTGCCCCCCCCCCGCCCCGTCCCCAACCCAGTAATGAGCTGAGCCTAAAGAAACATGCGGCTGCACTTGTGCCCGGGCCTAGGTGTAGACGACCGGTGCGCGATGTCACCCTCCAATTCCTACCTTGGTCTGCGGGGGAA